TTGCAAATTATCGTACATAATCCAATCGGATGTTTAATATACGAACATATTCACAAATCTGTTATGTTAAATACCTACGTTTTCCTCCCTGAAAGAGCTAAATGTCTCTGGGCGAGGATAACGTCATTTCGGTCGTCGCCCTTTGCGCTTTACCTTTCGCCAAAGTATAACGGGTATCGTATGTATATCGCGTAGACATATTTCCTCTGCGTCGGAGAAAGAGAGAGAGATAGAGAGAGGTCCATTCTATACTAATTAACATCCTAACTAACTCTCCGACATTAACCCATTATGTACTAGCGTAACCATCTGGTCGCGGTCTTTAGGGGAGGGTGTGAGATTCTCTCGCTTTTGAATTTGAACCAGCTAGTCGAAAGTATTGTGATTTGTCTTTTCGACGAAAATGATGAATCTTAAGGAAAGATCTAAATTCTAAGAATATTATATCTCTGACGTTGAAAATTACTTGTTAACTACCTTTTTTTTAATCAATTTTTTTAGATTAAGTATTACATATGTAACTAGATGCACACTTCTTTTTTTAGTTCTTCTGTTTCAAATCTGAATTAATCTATTTTTTTGTTAATTGAAAATTTATTCTAATTACTATCTGATTATAAATTGCGTAGTTCAAGTTTACCTATCAAGTGCTTTTTTTGTGAAAAACACAGCCGCTAAATTGATACTTGACTACAGTAATTAATGTCATTTTATGCCTTGAAGTTAAAAGAACAAGTATATGTATGTATGTATGTATGTATGTATGTATGTACATGAGAATACACAATATTTTCTTATTTCACAGTGTGAAATAAGAAAATATTGTGTATTCTCATGTACATACATACATACATACATACATACATACATACATCATCATTGATCGTTAATACGATTTCCTTTTTTGTAATATTCACATATGAATAATTCATTTGAATAACAACTTGCATGTTTATCTGCTGATAACTTAAAGATAATTTAAATAAGATACGGTATTAATTAATGATTACTATTGAAATTTATGAAACTCAATTCCCACAGAGATAAATGATTATTTCAAGTTTTCAAGATTTCATTTTTTTTTTCATAAACATCGCACCGAATGAAATGTGTTTTGATGTTTCAAGTATTCAAGAATCGCGATAATAGAAGTGTCTCTTAACGCTCTGCGCTGTAACGTAACTGCGTTTGAGAAATCGTTTGACACATTCTGTATAATTGATTTGATTTCAAAACAACTCTATCCGCTGGCCGTCCACTCTCTGTCTTTACCTACTCTCTAATGAGGCGTACGAACACGTACATTCGATTCTCTGTTTCTGCTTTCCGTAAGCCTGTAGGGGCCTTGCGCTATATATAATTTCTATTTCCGATGGGGCCTACATGGAATTTCCATAGTCCAAGAGCACGAGCGCACACACGAACGGTGCATAACACGTATAACACGCACGCACTCGCTCGTTGATATTCACATCACGTGCTAAACATGCCCACATACGATTCTGCGTTTCGGCAGCGCGATTATGAACGCAACCAGCCCGACGGTGGCAAACATTTAACCACGTATGCACGTGCGACATTTAGCGTGGTGATCCGAGGCTATCCTGGATTCTGACACTTTGTCCGCGGTTCCCCTATGTATTTATACGATTCGATACGCGAATCAGTATTTTTTCCGAATTTTAAAATCAAATTCCCAAAGAACTCATAAATGATGATTTCGTACCTCATTCAGATCTCATTCTTACATATAACACAGACACACTCTAGTGATTGTCTAGATTGTACATCATCTTGAAAAAAAGAATACATCAAGCATTATTTTAATGGAAAATAATTTTATTAATTTATATAACATTATTAATGAACAAACAAATGCATTACGCTCTTATTTTAATAAAATTTAATAACAGTATATTAATGAGTCATTAATACTGTTATTGAATTAATGAGATTATTTTCAATTAAAATAATGCTGTCGGTACAATATTATGTTTTTCAGTGTAGATTTTTGGATATTCTTTCATACAGAGAAATAAGAAATTTTTTAATGCTCAATCTAGGTCCTGGCTCTATTTCTTCTCGTGGTAGCGGTTGTTTTGGCAGACGACAAGTATACGACAAAGTACGACAATGTTGACTTGGACACGATTTTGGCGAGCGACCGTTTGCTCAAAAACTATGTAAATTGCCTACTGGAGAAGGGAAGTTGCACGCCCGATGGCAAAGAGCTTAAAGGTGAGCGTTTTGAGATTTCAGTAATTCTTCTTCATTATTATTTTTCGTTAGATTTTTCTATTCAAACGTTAGTAATGTTATTTCATTCAAACGTAGCTCTCGTACTGCAAAGAGTAAAAATATAGAAATAAAAAAAAAAATACGAATCCGTGGAAGCGTAGAATAACGATGTTGCACTTGGTTCGATAACATGGCAAAACATGCACGATGAAATGAGACGGTAATGATGATCTTTCACATGCTTTCTAATGTGCGGGAGAATCATCCTTGGCACTAATGGCCACCTCATTCCGTCTCATCTCGTCGAAGGATGCACGATGCGAGGTCGTCTCGTTAACGATGTTACATATGTACGAAGCAGGCACATATCACTTTAGCTCCAGATATGAATAATACGCTACAAACGACTGCCACGCTGAGGAGATTCGGACAAAAAGTACCTCGTCGTGAGACATTTTGCATGTATACGCGTAAGTTCGCGGTTAGCGTCGCGAAGAACAAACGTACGCGTCAGTTCTTTTCAGGTGAAAATTTTGCTCACGAACATAACGTTTCCTCGCGCAAAAATCCTATATGTACAGAGTTGAGACACGGATACTAGAAACCAATTACTTGCTCGGTGTATTTCCCGCAGATTGCATTTCCTGCAAATTGCATTAATTACTTGTCGCACGTATCACGATTTATTTCTCTACGTTAGAATCACGTTTATCGTCTGTTTCTTCTCGAATTTCTTTTTACCTTGGCGTGCTACCCCGTCGCGAGATAAAATGTGCGATGGACGGTAATACGTTACCGAGAATGTATAGTCTTGTCTCAGAAAATTCACGAGAGATATGCGGGAGTGTACAGTCAGCTGACCAGAGCAGGTGGTGCAAATGACGCGGAGTGATAAAAAAGCTGAGACAAATCCTGCAGGACGTCGCGTGTTCGAGAAATAACATACGTCATTATGAACTCCTACGAAGAACTCCGTCGCGATAAAAATAATCTTATGAAAGGATATATTCGCTAAAATATGTATTTATCGACGAAAAAAAGAAAGGATATCGAATCGATATTTTATTTCGAAAGATAAAAGGAAAAACGACCCTTAATTTTTTGGAAGAGCCTTATAACTGCGTAATTTCCCCTAAGCCGATAGCGTATGCTTCCAACGGAATTGAATTTCGCGCAGCCATGTCCCTGATCTGGAATTCCTCTCGTAATTTTTTTCCCTGTTTGTTTCAGAAACCCTTCCGGACGCACTGGCGACTGAGTGTAGTAAATGCAGCGAGAAGCAAAAGAAGGGTACCGAGAAGGTCGTCCGGTATCTAGTCAACAAGGTATATGTTCGCGCTAACATGTATACTCGCCCGTCACTTTTCACTGGGCTAATTAAACGCGAGGTCTGCGTAATGAGTTGATACCGGTGGGAGTAGGAACGCTCGGGGGATACGTCGAGGCGGTTTAAATGCCGTGGAACTAGTTTGACTTTCACGCAGAGACGGGTTAACCCTCCACACGGCACTAGGTGGCAGGGGGTGCCCCTGTGATTCGTTTGCGAACCACGCCTGGAAACTTTCGCATCCGTAGCCAAATAATTTAACGGCGATGTGAACCCGCCGACCCTTCGAACCCTTCTTTCGAGAACTGATTTCACCCCCGACTAGGCAGTCATATTTTAACGATTTTAAAGGGGTTTCAAGTGGTATCTCGTTTCGAATATATTGCGCTTTACAACACAATTTCTGAAATACTTGTATACGCGTTTTTCATGTAGTATCAATATGGCGATTTGATTCCTTTAAAAAGATATTATTTTTAATGCATATAAGAGTTTGTCTTTGAAATCACTGATCTCATCGCATTTTTACAATTGTGCAATACTGCTCCATGCTTTGATTGAATTTCACGATAACGTAATGATGTAATGTAGTTCTATCTCAGGGCGTTTCTCAATACAAAGTATTAAAGTGAGAAAACTTTCAGAGTAAAAATCTTCGTGCAGCTTTATTTTATGTAGATGTAACTAACGATACGTCTTCGGTAAATGCAATCCTGTTACGCAAACTTGTTACAGAAGATACAAGGGCGATTGCTTATTCGATCTTTTACTTTATTTCAGAAACCGGAAACTTGGGAGCTACTTAAGAAGAAGTACGATCCCAGTGGCCAATATAGTATCAAATATACAGACGAAGCACACAAGCAGGGAATAAATGTGTGAATAATTTAGATTCTCATCTCGCCGAGTAGAACGTCAAGAAATCTGTCCTCTCTTCTTCTCACAGCACATTCGAATTAAATAAATCCGTTAGTTTAGCGTCACGTAGAGGAACTCTTGTCCAACAGAAATTCGGGAGCTATAAAGAAACGTATATTACTAGATGTTACCGTAAATAATAAATAATAGGTGTAAAAGAATGTTATTGTGATTGAATTATAATAATTTAATTATTGTCATCGATTATTTATATATTATTTAGTCATTGATAATTTCCATCTCCTCTTCTCTTGATCCTTCACCATTATCTCGATGGGCGAACTACGTTTGTACACCAGTCACGGACGGCAATAATATATTTCTTGGTGCCGCGGCTCTTCTCCCGAAAGCAGTTCGACACTTCGGGAAGAGATAAATCTAGGCACAATGCCGAGAAAAGTTCCCTGGCCGAAGTTTGAGGTCCGAACGTCGCCCTTGAGACTACCTCGCTTAATTTCCTGACGCTGTCCAAATACGAAATATATGTGCGCATACCTATACGGGACGTAACTTCGCCATTCTCCGAAGCTCGCCGGAAACAGACGGCGATTTTGTATTTCCATGCTAGATCGAGGCCGAGCGAAGCGTCCCGATCCTTTACTCAAGGAGCTCGTCCTTCCCCCGCCTCTCATCCATCTCCAGGGAAAACGGAGAGCATATTTCATCGTCGAAGAACAAGAACATCGAACGATAATCGATATCGTTCACTCAGGTAACAACTGGAGTCAACTTCTAGAAGTTATCGAAGTTGCATAAGGACTAACGAGAACGGCTTCACGCCTTGCGTGCTCGCGTTTGCTCGTAGATCAAATTCTGTCATTTTGAAAAACCGATGAGTGTCCGTCGCGTTCGCACCAAGATTTCAATTAAACGAAGAACACTTTCTTATTTTTTTTTATCCATGTTTGTCTTCGACGTGATAATTTCCGTCCCGGCTCGCGCATTATTAAATTAAAGAAGTTAAGGATTTCGGCCCGAGATGGGCCGACAAGTACACATGCATAACTAATTACCCCCTTCGTTGCGCTTCCTTTGCCACACCCTCTGTTTCCTCCCATCCCGTACAACGAACTTTGCCGACGACGCGCGCGTTAAATATGTAAATGAATTACGAGATTAGTGTATAGTCAACTTAAGCAGTCGATTTAAATGCACCGCGACGGACCGAAGGCACGAGGCAATGACGAAGAGGGAGGGAGAGGATAGTCAAGGGTCACTCAAGCGATTTGGATCACGCAAATCGAGGGGGAAAATTTGCGAAGGGCCAATTCGGAGAGGAGAGGAGTGAATTTGCGGTGGTGGCTATCCGAGAAAACCGAAAATTCAATCTTCGCGTGCCGCCACTTGACAAGAATTCTCTCGCTCCTTTAAACACCCTCCCTTTCTCGTCGATCGGATTGAAATCCGAAATGTCGTCGACTCGTTGGGGTGCACTCGTAGGAAACGGATTTCGGGACTTCAACAGGTTGGGAATTCCGTACGCATCCTTTGAAGCATCTGTCGACAGTACCAGCTGATTTCTGCCATTGCATCTTTCTCTCTTTCCTTATTCTCGTTAAAATGGAAATTACAATCGCGATTGTATTGCGAAGGGAATTGTTTGTTACGCATGTAGAATATGACGGATACTTGGGCGAGTGTACGTGATAAATCTTCAGTATTTTGAAATAAAAAATTAACACACATATTACTAGGTATTTCTATTGTAAGGAACAACTAAAAAACTTTTTTATAAAAAATTTCCAAACTTCCACGTGAGTACCTTCAGTTTTTCTAGGTCGTTGGATCGACCGAGAGAGTTCCATTTCCTGGTCACCTTATTCCTTTGACAGCCTTTCCTTTGGACTTCTTTTTTTGGGGATATATCAAGAACTTGGTGAACGTTTAGACCACAAAAGTACCGAACGTGAATGTTTTGCGCAATTGTGACCGCCATTGGCACCATAACTAATGACATACTTCAGCGCATTTGGTATGAAGTGGAATATGTACCCGCTTTTTGCCTAAAGGTGCTCATGCGAAAGTTTGATAATTTCTTTATAAAAAATTTAAAAAATTTTTTACAATAAAAGTATCTATTATAAAAATATATATCTGTTTTTATTTCTAAAAATAAAGTTTATCATGTACAGCCTATATTTTGCAGGTAACAGACAGTTAAAAATGCTTGCACAGGAAAATGGTGATAGAAATGCATCAAGACAGTGATAAAGCTTGAAATTATGTTATGAATTAAGCTGTAACGTGAAATAATCTCGAAACTGTATATTTAATTATAGAACCGGTAACAAGCATGTCACTGTCCATTAAACGTTACCAATCGATATCAACCATTCTAATGTGAAAATATCGTGTTTGATGAACTCCAATTAATCTCTGCATTATATAAAGTACACTTCGTATAAAATTGCTGAGATTGCGTTATGTTATTTAAATCGGAACTCTGCTGTTGTATCTGGTTTAGTTAAATTTGATTATTTTATTCGTTACACTTATTTTTCTTTTTCTTGTTCCGTTCTATATATTGGTAATTATTTGTTACCGTTGTTTTTTTATTGAAATGTAAAAGTATAACATCTCATTGAAAATACTGTAAAAAATTTTGCAACAAATTTTACAAAAATTCTTGCAATAAATTTGAAAGTCCCATATAATTATTTTGATATCCCAACATAATTAATTAGCTAAATTTTTAGATACTTCAGCAAAATCGTTTTTTTCGTGTGTAAATCGTACACTGAAAAAAAACTAAATTTTAATATATATTTGAATAGGTTTAAGTAAATATTTACTAAACATAAACATATATATATATATATAATTTATTTAATATAAAAAATCATTAATTTGATTTAACTATCATTTTTTAATAATTTTTAAATTAAATATTTTTCTACTGTAAGTAAATAATTACTTAATACCATTCAAAGAAATATGTATTATGGTTTAGTAAATTTTTTCAGTGTACGGTTCGTGCTTTTTCGGTGAGGCATACGTATATTGTACGAGTATTTCTGAATATTGAAGAATATTATGATTATATTGTAGAGATAAAAAGCAGCAAATTAAGCGTAAACAAGGTCTCTCGATAATGACCTTGTTTATACTCGATAAGCATTCGAAGTGCGACGCTTCGCGGTAGCGGATGCTCTTCCTCTCTGCAAAATTCCTCGTGTCGAAATATTAGGAGGAATGTATCGAAAATATCTTCATATTTCGAGTATTACGCAACATTTCAAAATCGTGTTAAAAAGCAACTCAATTAAAAACGCCAAATCGAGTGTTGATGAAAAAAAATTACATTTGCCGAATTTATTCGAAACGCGATGCTTTCGCGTTCGTTGATGTGCGTTGTATTTTAATTCGTGCTTTTCCGTACCTGTCAAAAAGGAAATATGTTAAAGCAAATATGTTTCAGAATGTTTCCGGGCCATTTCTTGACCTAAGATGATATCGGAACGTATAGAATGTCGTGTTCTTGAAGCGTAGTAAAATTTTGAAATTAACAAGCGCGCGGGCTGGGCGTCTCGCGAGCCGAGCGCATCCGAGAAATAACGGAACTAACCGAAGACGTATTTGAAACGCGAGAACGCAATTATTCGTAACTCTGTTCGTCTGTCTGTAATTAAGTGATCGGGAACTGTTTTGTGCCACAAGAACTTTGTCAAAACGAATACTCGGTTGTCGGCACTTCGAAATCGTGAAGTAACTAGTTATGAACTCGCATGCGAATGCGAAGTAATGTGCTTGGAGTTGTGTCGGAAGTGTAAGCGCTCTGCGTCGAGTACAGGGTGTGTGTGCGCTATACTCTATTAGGATGAATATTCAGCTGTCAACACTTCAAAATTGTGGAGCAACTCAGTATGAACTCGAATGCCATTGAAATAATGTGTCTGAAGACGTGTCGAGATGTGTTGTTGTCCGTTGAGTGTTGTGTACCTCGTGTGTACGCATCCTACAACTGTATCTAATTTTCCGAAGTAAATATATCACAAACCTTTGATGGAGCAACTCAGTATGAACCATGGTGGAAGGAATAAATGGTGTGCTTAGTTTGCTTGCAAGCGTCTCTCTCTAAATCTCGGCCGTCTCTTTCTATGGATATCGTGAGAGACAAAGGCTACCAACTGCGAAACGCGAAACACATATGGGGCGGTATTCACAGTCCGTTTTTAAAACTGTCTTAAAACTGTCTTAAATAATGTCTTAAGATGTTAATACAGTCCTCG